TCATAGCTATGTATGTATAAGAAAAACAAACATGTATACAATTCAGTACTATCCGCATCTACTGAGGGTCTTGGAACATATACCCTGTGGTTAAGAAAGGATTACAGTATAGTATAGTATAGTATAGTATAGTATAGTATAGTATAGTATAGTGACAGTGGCCTAGCTTTGAATCCTAGCTGCATTTACTAGCCCTGTGACCTTGGACAAACAACATCATATATACCTCAGTTACCTTATTTATAAAGTGGGGATAAAGATGGGACCAGAACCAAAGGATTGTGTGAAGGCACATAAAGCCCTAAGCATAGTGCTTGGCACATAGTAAGCAGACAATACATGCAAACAAGAATAATGAGGTAGACCACTCATTCAGGCCTTGGTCCAACCCACCTGGTAGGCTCTTTACTACTGCACTGCAGGACATGGCAAAGAACCAGGGGATGGGAGATTATTCATTCAGCAAGCACTATATGCTTATTAGGTTTACCACCGTACACAGTACCTGGCACACAGTAGGTGCCCAATACATATTTTCAAATGAATCACATGCTTGCTATAAGCCAAATATGATATCTAGTCTTAAGGATACATAAATAAATGATAGTCTAGACCTTATAGAAACAATCTAAAAAGAAGACAGATATTTTTATCTGAATATAGAAAAGATAATAACAATACAACAGTCATCATAACAGAAGGATGCAAAACAGAATTGAGTGGACACTAGAGGAGCACTGAAGAAGGACCTAGTAGAGGACAGCACAAGCTAAATCTAGAAGGACAAGTGGGGAGTCAGTCTTGAGAGAAGTGAGGTGTGGGCATTCCAGCAGAGTGACAGTATGGACCAAGGACAGAAGCTTGAAGACCACCATGGCTTCATTAGAGAGACTGCTAGACCCAGTGTTTCCAGGGTTGCATGGGAAGGAGTCTATATCCTCTCTCCTAGCACATACGTGCACTGGGAATTCTGATACCAACACAACTGAATGGCAAGAAAATGAGACAGGAGAGTGAAGGCCTCTGTTCTCAGCTTCAGGGAAAATTTATTCTATATTCATTTTTGTTCTTTGGCTCCAAGTTCATACTTCTGCAAAGACTGGGTGTTTCCTAAATGCTTCAGACAGACTGGCAGAGCAGTGATACAGGCAGCCAAAACTGTGAACAGGCTCCCTGATTGTTCTGGGGACTTGCTGTTCTCCAGCCCTTTACCCTGAGGGGTCCTAGAGGCTGGATGTGCAGGCCTGGTATTATCTGCATTGACAGAAATAGACTTCCAGACATGGAAAAGCAAGGCTCACAAAGGGTGATACATATCCAGCTATGTGGGTGTGTACCCCTAGATGCATTTTTGCCCCTAAAGTAGAGATTGAATATTTCTGACTCTTTTCTACAAAGCTGAACTTGGACAAAACTGCATGTAAACAAATTTGTTTCTTCAAATCAGTCTTTCATCATTTCACTATTATATTGGGATTTATTGGTTTCTAGAATTAGATTAAAGCCGTCGGTAGGCAATGACTCTTATTAAAATGATATCTGGCAAAAAGAAAGGCTCCAAGTTGGTTTGAACTTCAAATGATTCAGAATATAATGTTCACATCTTCTCTCTGACCTCCCCTTTCTAATCCTATTGAACTCTGTCTGAGTTTTATATAAGGTTTATTTGTCCTGACCAGAAGCTTAATAGACTAAAACGAAATTACTGTACTTAAGATGTATGGCTCTGACAGGGACTAACATATGTTTTCTTCCTTAGATTTACAAGAAAGTCAATTTAAGCTCAATTGACTTAACTTCAATGGCCATTTTTTTCTTTCCTGAGGAGCTTAAGTGGATTTCAGTTGCAAAGAAGTAGACAAACATGATGTCATTCATTAAGAAAGCATACTGTTAGCAAAATTAAAGCAAGCCATCTCTCAGTGAATTGACCTCTCAGAACAAATCGACACTATTTCTAAATGACCACAACAATTTACAGGTGGCTGCTTTAACTCTCTCCTCCATTTACAGTAGTAAACAAATATAATAAATAACCTGAGGAAATAAACAGGGCATACATATGTCCACGTAAGGGAGGCAGAATGGTTTAACAGGTTCTAATCCCAGCCCTGGCCTCTTAAGAAAGCTACTGGAATCTCTTGGTCTCCTTTCCCTTGCCTTTAAATGGGGAATAAAAAATGTCTGTGCTGAAACTATATTAGTGGTTGTGAAGGGCAGGGAGGAAGGAAGGAATGGGGTGTGATTTCTAGTGAACATGCTTTCTCTTTGGGGATGATGAAATGCTCTGGAATTAGATAGTAGTGACAGTTACACACCTTGTGAATATACTAAAAACTACTGAATTGTACACCTGAAAAGGGATGAATATTATGATATGTGAATTACATCCCGATTTTTAAAGAAAATACATGTGCTGCTTCACAGGGCTATCATTAGGAGGCAGAGAGAAAGTACGTATATACAAAACCTTTGTAAAACAATCAAGGGTCATTTCTAGTGAAAATAAGTTGTATTAGTTGGGAGGGTTTTTTGTTGTTTGTGTTTTGGTTACAATGAATAGAAACCTTTACTGCCCTGGCCGGTTTGGCTCAGCGGTTAGAGCGTCAGCCCACAGACCAGAGAAACCTTTACTGATTTACATGACCAAACCATGGGATATGCCACAGATCCTGGAACTGGAGATTCCAAGTGGGCCACATTCTCTCCACCTCTCATCTTGGCTTTTTTGAACATCACCTTCATTTCCTCAGGCAGAGGAATAGATATCTGCAGCTGCCAGACAGGAAACTTTCATTTTGTCAGCAGAAGGGTCAGAGTCTTTGGTTCTCTGGTCTGAAGTTCAAAACTACTGCAGAATTGCTTCAGTTGGGCTGGTTTGGGTAAGATATGCAACCTCAGACCAGTCACAGTGGCCTGGGAGATGACTTCTGTAAGAAGATTGGCAGCTCTCATTAGAATTACATGGGTAGAAATGAACTTCCCAAAATAGGTGGACAGAATGATGCACTGGGCAGACACAGTAGACCAATGTCCCAGACTTCTTTAGGGACTTTGTTGACATCTCAGGGAGCATTAGTCCAACCTCCTTATTTCATAGAGGGAGCTATATTCAGATAACTAGTTAGTAGAACCAAGACTAAATCCCTGGTCTTTTAACTGCCAACCTAATGAACATAGATTGGTGGTTCCCAAATTCACACCATAGCATAAATTGGGGAACTTGTTAAAAATACCTACTGCAAGACTCTCACTGGAGACCTAAATAAGAACTTGGGGGGGGGACTGAGGTATGTGAGTCTGGATTCAATTGCAGATGTCCCAGGTGATTCTGATGTTTGGGATCCACCACTTATAAAATAAAATAAAAATACTGATACCTAGATCCCCACCCTAAGATACTCATGCTTTGATCTAAGCTGTGGGGGTATCTCATGTGCAGTGAAGGTTGAGAAACACAAATTAATGCATATTACAATCCCTGGGGAAGCTTTACTGACACTTCAAATGCCTGGGCCCAACTCCTAAGATTCTAGTTTAATTTGTCTGGGTCTCAGGGTACTGATATTTTTCAGAATCTCACCAGCTAATTCTGAGGTTCATTTGAGGTTAAGACTCAAATCTTACTGCCCTCCACGCACAGGAGTTGTGAATGAGATATGGATATGGAAAGTTATCGTCAGTTCAGTGTAAAGTGTGATGATGACAATGATGAAGATATTTCTTGACTACTTACTCTACTAAGCATTTTATGAGCATGATCTCATTTAATCTTCAGCATAGCTGTCTAGTGTTATTTTCCCTTTCCCTTAATTATAATATGGCATCATCCCTATTTTCAGATGAGGTTTTAAAAGATGAAGTGACTAACCCAAAGTAACATGGTTCATTATATGGCCAAGCCAGAAATACAACCCAGAACCCGGATGCTAGAGTCCTCCAGAAGTCCCCCAACTAACAAACTTTCCATGACAAGAACAGAGCAGTCTGTCAGAACAAAATCTTGTCAGCTCTGCCTGTAGCCCGCAGTTGGAATTAGGAGTTCCCTGGAGCTTTCAAGACCCAACCGGTCCCTAGAGTAGAGTTGGTGTGTCTTTTAATGCAATGCAGGAATTAGCATTAAAGTATTTTATATCAGATACAATAACTGGAAATTCAGAGTCCCACAGATATAAGTGCATTTATCTTTGAAAACAGTAATGAAAATGTCAAGACAATTAGCCCGGCTGGTATGACTCAGTGGACTGAGCGTCATTCCATGGACTGAGAGGTTCCGGTTCAATTCCCAGTCAGGGCACATGCTTGGGTTGCAGGCTCATTCCCCAGTGGGGGGTGTGCAGGAGGCAGCTGGTTGATATAACTCTCTCAATCAATGTTTCTCTCTCTCTCTCCCTTCCTGTCTCTCTAAAAAAAAAACAAAAAAAAAACCAATAAAAATATATATTTTTTTTAAATTTAAGACAAAAGGGAAACAGGTTGAAACTATGTGAATGAGGATGAAAATAGTCAGTTGGGTCAGTTTTATGCTTTGAACAAGCCATTGTCTAATTCTCAGCATAACCAAATTTCTCTGACCTTGTTTGATTCTTTCTTTTAAAATTACTGTTTAGTTATAAGAAATTAATGCTGAAGAGTTAACAATCAAGAGGGCCTATAGCACAGTAGTGTCGGGCCACTCAGTGATCAATTGTGGCACCTATGGGACACTTTTTTTTTTTTCATCTTTGTTAGATTCCTCTGATGCATTATTTTTTTATTTTAATGTTTATTTTTCAATTATAGTTTACCTTCAATAATATTTTGTATTAGTTTCAGGTGTACAGCATAGTGGTTAGACAATCATATACTTTATAAAGTGTTCCCCCTGATACTTCCAGTACCCACCTGGCACCATACATAGTTATCAGGATATTATTGACCGTATTCCCCATGCTGTACTTTACATCTCTGTGACTAGTTTGTAACTACCAATTTATACCTCTTAATCTCTTCATCTCTTAAAAAATATGGAGTGCTTCACAAATTTGTGTGTCTTCCTTGCGCAAGGGCCTTGCTAATCTTCTCTGTGTCGTTTCCATTTTAGTACACTTGCCGAAGCGAGCACAGGACACTTTTATCTTGCTGTTACACTGTTGTGGCTGGTTTCCTGCTTTACCCTGTACCTAAAAGAAAGGTGGGACAAATGTTGAAGGGCCGGAAATGGGAGGACAAAATGAATCAGAAGAACCCTCCTCTCATATTTCTTTATTAACTTGGAATTTCTAGAATATAACCTCCAAGTATAATGAGGTTCTTTTGTACATGGATAAGTATAAATATTATTATGCTAATATTTTTTCTTTTCCCAGATTTTGCTTTATAAAAACAAAGTAGCCCACAAGTCTGGTTTTATGTGCCTTTAGAGGTTCTTTGCAATTTTCCCTTTCACAGCTGTTAAATAGCTTTTCTCTCCAATATTTTTTCCTGAATAATGATTTTTATGGAAGCAAATACAGTAAGCATTTTAAAGTCTTACCAGTTGTGACAATAAAATAATGGAACTTTTAAAAATCCAACCATGTATCTGGAAATTGAGAAAAACCATGCATTTATTTCTTAGGAAGTCACACACTTGTTCTGATGAAGATGCCATTTCTCAAAATGTTTTGGAAGTTTAAATTGTTTTTAGCACAAGATTATGAGGTTTTGAATGAAAATTAGTTAGGTTGCCCCATAGTGCTTTATATATATTTTTAAATTAAAAATAGAACCTCAGATATAGGGTAAAGAGCAATGAATTTGGAATCAGAAGATCTGGATTCAAATCCACCCTCTGTTACCTACTAGTTTTATAACTCTGCATATCCCTTAACTTTTCTTAACCTCCATTTCCTCCTCTACAAATGGAGAATAAAAGTACCTACATCAGGGGTTGTCCTGAAGATTATATGAAACAAGGTATTGTTATAGCACCTTGTGAAATAAAACACACTGTCCAAATATAAGTTATTATTGGCCCAGCTTGATTAGAATTGAGTGGACTTGGTTATTTCCAAAATTCAAGTGTAACCACTGAAAGCGTAAATATTCCATCATTGAGCCCTGGCTGGTTTGGCTCAGCAGTTGGAGCATCAGCCTGCGGACCAGAGAGTCCTGGGTTCGGTTCCCGCTAGGGGCACGTACCAAAAGAAAAAAAAAAAAAATCCATCATTGAAAAAGTATTCAAAAGAACATGAAAGAGGCACTGATGCCTTGGGTCAGTTCGATGAGCGTAAATGAGAACTCAGCTGAGACCCAGAGAAATGTAGTTTGTATTAAAATCTTCTTACTCTCTGGATCCTTAGAATTATCATTTCTTCCTAATCCTCTGCTCTCTAGCACCCACTCCATTGGATGAAAGTAGGAACTGCTGGCTAAATTCAAGGCATTTGTGAAAATGAAATCTGAAAGAATTCTGGCTGTGCTTTTGACATGACCATTATCCTTTCTTTCACACCTAACAGCCTGGGCCAGCCAGCAATCCTTGTTTTAAATGGCCGACTCTAGGGCTGTTGCTCTCCTTGCCTTTTTCAGATAGCCTTAACCTGAGGGGCAGGACCACAAATTCCACAGTCGAGCACATGGCATGAGTGGGCTGTTCTGTACAGTCTGAGACGGTAAGTGAGAAATTAAACCCTAGTCCAGCCAAGACACAGTCACCCCCACTGCTAAGCAGATCCCAACCATCCACCCCCAACCCACGGGGTCACATGAATGAAATATTTAGCCAAGTTACCCCAAGTTTCTTGCTGTGAAACTAATCCTTTGTGGTCTGCTGGAGCAATTACTGAAGTCTGTCATCTGCAATACTCCTTTCAAATCCGAAAGTGTTCTCTTTTTGCATTTTGCATGTTAATCAAAAAATAAAAATAAATAAACAGCAATCACTTAGCTATTCCAACAATGCTTTACCACATCAGGCTACAACATGGAACAGCAGATATTTTATTGCATTCTGCATCACCTTTTTTTTTTTTCTTTTTAGATTTAAAAGTGTGCTTTTTTAATAAGAAAATAAGGAGGGAAGACTGCTTCACATTCTGAGGAGAAAAGAAAACCCCTCACTTGTGACTATAAAGCTTTTGTTAATGGTGATGAGTTGTCCTGCATCATAACCTTATTAACCAAGGTTTTACTGTGGGCACCCTCTCAGGATTCCGCCGTCTGTCAGGGCAGGGTTGTGTAATGAGTACAAGAAGAGTGTGAAGTGCTCTTCAAACACAAATCTAATAATATTTGAAATAGTTTACAAGATACAACTGACAGTAACAGATTAAACATGATGGCTACTCTGACCTAAGATTTGGGATTTGGTCATCCATAGTTAGAGCCACTACAGATTATTACACACACACACACACACACACACACACACACACACACACACCTCCGCTTTTTTTTTAGAGAGAGAGAGAGAAAGGGGTGGGGAGAAGGAAACATTGATGTTAGAGGGAAACATATATTCGCCTCCTCTTATGCGTGCTGACCAGGGATCAAACCCACAACCTGGGTATGTGCCCTGACCAGGAATAGAACCTGCCACCTTTTGGTGTATAGGACAATGCTCCAACTAACTGAGCCACCTGGCCAGGACATCCCTCAGCTTTTTTTAGGAATTTCTTGAGGTGAAGGAATCCTAATGTGACTCCTCTATTAGTATTCTGTAACCATCAATTTAGAAGCTGAATATTTGGTGTTTGAAGGTAAATTAGATACTGAAATAGCAGACCAAATGTTCACATGTTCCCATCTAGCAGTAATCAGTACCTCAGGCCCACTTTGTAAAGCACTCAGTTATATATTTCCTTATTTTCTGTTGCTGTCTGTAAACATTTGCAAAACATACACAATTGCTTATAGTCACTTAGTCTCATCAATTATTAGTTTCTCAAACTCAAACAGAACCTTTGAGGTCTTGGTATTAATGTTAAAATCGGGAAATATTTGAGCAATGATGATATTAAACATTCCTTTTTTTCCCTCCTAATGGGGATGCAATAGTCCTTCCCAATGGGTATTTTAAAAATACATATTTTTAATTTTAAAAGTAATTCAGGTTCACTTTTGAAAAAACATGAAATGGAGATTAAAAAATGAAGAAAAAAGTCAACTATAGTCCCATCACCAAAAGAACAACTTAACATTTTGTTGTATGTACTTTGAGAAATATTATATTTCAAATGAAAACATATTTATTGAGTGCTTAATATACCCAGAACTGTTTTGGGTGCTGAGAGAAAAAGAGATGAATGAGGCATGGTCCTTGTCCCCAAGGACTCACAAAGAAAGCATCTGAGTAATTGGTCAGGAGCTAGTTTGTTGATAGAGGGTTAGTTGACATTTGATAGTTTTTCATGTTTTGAATATTTATGGTTTTAAGCCTAATTGAAAACAGTTCTATTCTGGCTATGTCAAAGTATACTACATGCTAGCTGAATCTATTAAAACTTCATTTAACTTACTGCCATTTGTGTCTTGTTCATTTGGTCCTACTTATAATAAATGTATTTGATGGTATCCTGACATGTTTATCAGTCTGAGTTGTTATACTGATTCCTCTGGGGAACCATCCATTTCTCATTGTGTTTTGGATGTTAGTTCCTTGAGATGTACATAGGTGGTGTGTAGAGAAACAGATTTCATGGCCAAAATATTTAGGAAATTCTGAGCTAAACAACTGTAGAAAATAAAAAATAAATTTTTGATGAGTGACCAAACTAAATATGGAAATTAAAATAATAAAGATTCTAGAAGAAAACAAAGAAAAATATTTTCATGACCTTGGGGTAGGCAAAGATTTCTTAGCAGGACATCAACAAATTGACAAATTTGACTTCAACAAAACTGAAACCATTAACTAATCAAATTACACATTTTAAAAAATTAAGAAAGTGAAAAGCATTCACAGGCTAGAAGAAAATATTCACTATTCAATCTGACAAAGTACTCATATAAAAAATATATAAAGAACTCCTATATATCAATAATAAAAAAATAAGCTATTTAAAAAGACAAAACTAAAAAAGATTAGGCAAAAGTCTTGAAGGAATATTTCAAAAAAGAAGGTATATAAATGATCAACAAGTACATGAAAAGATTCTTAACATCATCAATCATCAAGGCAATGCAAATTCAAACCATACTAAGGTACCACTTCACATCAATTAGAATGACAAAAATAAAAAGATTTAAATAAGAAGCATCAGCAAAGATGTAGACCAGCTGGAAAAGTTTGCCACTAAACAGATAGTTACTGACAGCAATAACTCCAATCCTAGAGGGACTTCTCAGTGTGTGTGTGCGCGCGTGCATGTGTGTGTGTGTGTACAAAACATCTGATACACACATGCATACAAAATTACTTCCAAGACTTATTTCCATATGAAGTTCTTTCTTCAATGAAAATCTTGTAGCACCACGAGGAATGAAATTATATTTTCATAAAAAGATTGGTATAAGAATGGTTGTAGCAGCTCTAATAAGAATGGACTACTGATTCACACAGCAACAGAAACTATACTGAGGGAAAAAAGGGAGCACAAACTAGTCACACTGTACACCATTTATGTAAAATACAAGAACAGGCAACACAGTTATGGTGATAGAGATCATTTAGAGTAACGAGTGCTTCTGGGGAGAGTCCAGGGGTGACTGGAAAAGAGTTCAAGTAACTTTTCGGAGAGATGGAATGTTCTCTCTCTTAATTTGAGTGATGATATTGTAAGTATATACTTTTTCATAACTTTAAATTTTGATGTAATTTCAACTGATAGAAAACTTGCAAGGCTAGTACAAGGAATTTCCATTCCCTTTATCCAGATCACCAACGTTTGCATGTTGACTGAAAGTCATTGAACTGTATGTTTAATGTCTGTGCATTTGACTATATGCAATTGGACCTTGTAAAGGAGGAACAAGTTATTTCACTAAAAGAAAAAAAAATTCTCAGAATTTTGTTAAATCTTCAAAAGAAGATTTAACAAATTTTTATGCATTACTTCCCAGATATTTTTGGATTGCACCAGCATTCTGAAGAATGCCTAGTGGGACCCCATGCTCCAGGACAGCAGTTCTCAGCCCTGAC